GCGCTGCCATCCGCTTCGGGAACGCGTGGCAGCTCCTGCGGCGTGCGGAGCGGGGCGAGCGGCCCGGGACAGGCCCGGGAGAGCGCGGCCCGGCCGGCGCCGCCCCTCGGGGTTCCAGAGCGCCTCAGCGGCGATGGAGCAGTGCTTGGCACACACCTGCACGCTGTGTGTGCTCTGTAAAGCGGATAGCTGGCACCAAATATATATCTATAAATAGAAAGCAAGATGATCATAAAAATTAGAGGATTTGACTGTATTCTTACCTTGAATTGTATCTCGGGTTTTCATTTACATCAGCAAGTGAGCAGGGCATGTAAATAGTCCAGGTGTGTAGTAATATTTCCACTTTTTAACCCATTCCCACGAGGCCAGAGGCAGTGCTCAGTGTGGCAGTCGTGGCGTGCGTGCTTCCCTGCCTCAGGAGAGGGTAAAGGTACATTTGCGTTGTAGCAGTTTAGGATTGCTTGACTTTTCTGCTTTTAGAGTTCTATTTTTTCTTCTCCACTGTTCAGCTTGGTTGCATTTGGTACCTTAGAATATCTTGCACTCAATATCTATCTCTTTTTTTCTTTTTCTTGAAGGTACATCAGAGGATTACAGATGGAAAATGCAAAGCCAAGAAAAGTCTTTTTTTTTTTTTCTTAAGTATTACAGAATAAGGAAATAATGGCCTGAATGAAGTTGCCTGTGCCATGTAAATGCTTTGAAGTTTTGTAATGGCAGAAGCTAGGTCTCCAGAAATTAAAAGATCCAGAGTAAGTTTGTCACTCAGTAGAAATAAGAAAAAAAAAGGATCAACCAAAAAAGTGGAAGGTAAAGAAACACCATCTATACCTACAGCATCCTCCTCTATTGTTTCATTTTTTAACAATGTTCCCCCTACCAAAATTACGTGTCCTATGTGTGGGCAAACGGTGCCAAGATTCAGAATAAATGAGCACATGGATGAAACATGTTGCAGAAACCATGGTGGGACTGGTGTCACTGACTCAACACTCAACTCTTTTAGGAATGGGAGTCCCCCAGCTGCAAATGTGAACAGTAATTCCAGCTCGTATTTTTCAAAAAACCTCATAAATCTAGAAACAAGTCCTTCTAAAATTGGCTTATTGAAAGCAGAAGAGAATGCAACAGCACAGATTAGTCCTTATTTTAGCAGTAATAGTTCAGTCTGCAGTGTTAACAATGAACCGCGGACTCAAACAGTTAAAGTAGTCTCTTTGGGAAGCTTGTCATCTAAACTGTCCAGAAGACGTAGCCAGGGAGGAAAACAGATTGTGTATAAGGAGATAGACTCTTCACCTCCAGCTGTTCATAATATGTGCAAAAGTGCTGCAGCACAGGATGATGATGATGAGATTTATGCTGGGCATAGTTCTCAGAAAGAAAATCACCTTGCTCTGAGAGAGCACCAAGAACAAAAGTTTTCAAAGGAGGAACCTGACTTTCAAGAAGAAACGAACAAACGTAATGGAGAAGACCTTGTGGATATTGTTCAGGTATCATTACCAGCAGATAACATTAATAGACCAATTGCTACAAGGAGCACCAAACCAGAAAGTATGTCAGAGGGTGTGATACTTATTCCTGATAAATTTGAAACACATCTAGCCATTTGTACTTCATCAAAGTTGACCAATAGTTTGGAAGTCAAGACTCAGCCTCACACTCAGGTTATTCCTTCTTCCAAGACAGAAGTGAACTGTGGTACACAAAATTGCTTTAGCAAAGCTGATGTACAGCTGCTTCCCATGGAAGTTTATGAAGACTTTGAGGATGAGATTAGTCATACTTTGTCAGAAACTGTGGAAAAGGTGGAATTTCAAAATTCCATTGGGGACATTTTAGACAAAATAAATGAGGTTAGCTCTGTGCCCGGCTCTCCTGGTCACCCATATTACCTCCAGAATTTTTTAGCAGTGCTGCGAGCAGTCTTGGAGAATGAAGATGATGTCAGACTCTTTGATGAGCAAGATATGAATGTTATAACCAAGTTCTGCAAATTATCAGGTATCTTTTTTTTTTCTACATATATATTTTCACATTTCCTCTTGTAGAGAGAACTGTTACATAGTTTTATGTGAAGGGTGCTATACTAATGGGCAATTTAACTTGATAAATTCCTTAAGGGAAGAAGCTCCTTTTTCTCAGGAGATGTATCCCTCAGTGGCTTCTTGCAGGTAATCTTTCCTAACAATGCTTTAATGAAAGGTAATGATAAATAGTGGATAATTGTAAGAAAAAAGGAGAGAATGATCATGTATATTTCTGGGTTTTTTTGAATACTTATTTTACTGTTTTAATACTATTTCTTAGATTCTTAACTCAGGTTGTTGCTGCATTTAAACATGTTTCCCAGGAAGGAAACTTGTAGCACAGAAAGACTATCAGTTAACACCAGCATTTAGATGACCAGTACTATGGGAAGTTTACAAGATGGGGTTATGAAAGGGCCCATGCTGGGTATGTGGACCTTGGGGAAAAAACCCCCAAACTTCAGAAGTGGCCATTGTGAGCTTTGATTTGGCACATTTGCAGATTACTTCCATTCTTGGTGTGAATCCATGGTTATCCCTATGATTATTATGCAGTGTTTAGAATGCTAGTTGCTAATTAACAATAATTTTCCTGTAGGTTGCTTAGTACTTTTAATTCTCATTAACATCAGTAGGAGCCAGAATGTTGGAGATTTAAGCCCTCCATGTTTATACAAGATTCAAAGCAGACATGTTGCCTGAATTCTATACTCATATAAGTTTTACAGTATAAGCATGGCAGAAGTGATATAAATTAAAACTAACCCTCCAAATTTTATGTATGTCTATAACTTGTTTTAAACTGTAATTAAGATTAGTGTTACCAGCACTTGAACAACAAACTTGGAGCATCAAAATGGAAATAAGCTTATAACAACCTCCACAAAAAAATTGTATCTCAGAATATTGCAGGCATAAACTTTTATATTGTTTGAAGCTACTATGGTAATATACAGCTGCCTAACTATTTTTAGATACATACTTATATGAGCTCAGTTCACACATCTGAGATGACCATACGAAAGTGACAGTTGCTTACACACCTCTTGGTAAAAATAATCTAAAGCAGGCTGCATTTATTAATGTATTGTGTTCATTGAGTTTAGCTTAACTAGCAGGCTGTAAAGTTTATCACATTAAAGAATGTGATCTCCCTGTGTGAAATTGTAACGTTATTTTGGTCTTCTTCCTCTCTGTAAATTATATTCTTTTTTCTGCACTGGTGTACATCAGTCTTTTGACTGTTTCTCCTTCACAAAATGGAAGAAAACTGTTCTAGCTGTTTAGAACACTTAGTCCTTTAATGTTTGTTCCTATAAAGTTCCAAATGATATTGTGGATTGACACCACAGAACATTGTAAAAGAGAATATCAAGGCCATGACTTGAGATTAGCAATTACGTGAATTTTTTCCAAGGCCAAAAGTAGTTTTTTCAGTGTGTTTTTCTAATAACTTGTATAGATGTGGAGAATCATAGAATTAGGTTAGTGTACATGACATCACAAAGTTTTTAATACAGGATATTGACTAAGAAAAATGGAGATGTGTTGGTTGAGCTTTTTAGGAAGAAATATAGCCCTGCTAAGTAGTTCGGTCTCAGTTCTGTAGGAAAATTGAGTCAGTGCCTATCTGTTTCCCTAGGAAGCAATTAAAGCGTGGGAGAAATGTCTTTTTTGACTTAAGATCTTTTTCCAAAGTTTAGCAGCTGGAAAGGACCATATGAACATTCTTCATTTGCCCTAGTGGAAAAGTCAGCAGAGCTGACACAAACCACCCTAAGAGTTGGTTGCTAAAAGGGTGGAGAAACTCCAGGGGAGGAAGCAGGGCTCTAAACTTACACAGGTATTTCTGCAGTGGTTACCTGCTCACAGTTAAGCTCTTACAGATTATATTATAATAATTACAGTTATGCAGTAACACTAAACATTTTAAAATTAAAGAATAATACCAAGATAAATTATGAGAATATTGTAAGTAAAGTAAGATCATAACATAGGACTGTATTTGTCAGGGAACAGCAAGAGCAGACTACTCTGCATGGGAAGATGAGCCAGGAGCCAAAGGGGACAGCAGGGCAGGCAGGGGCCACATCCTTTTCTCACCTGCAAGGGGCACAAAGAAGAAGAGCAGAGCGGATCCAGTGCCAGTACCACAGTTGGCCATGCTCCAGCAGTGGCAGGTCTTCAGGCAAGTCGGTAGCGATGGGGCAGGTGCAAGGTGAAGCCAGCTCAGCAAGGTGCCTGGCTGGGCACTGGCACACAGCAGCAAAGTTCAATCAAGAGTGGAGGCCACCAGCCTGAGCTTAAGTATGGCTCCTGGGCGAATGGGGGGAGCCTCACACAGCTCTCCCCAGCAGCCTGAGCCACGCTTACACAGCTGCATCATATCGGAGCCGACCTTGAACACAACCAGCCAAACCTGTGGGTGCTGGGATGGGGTTGTAGAGGCTGTTAGGGCAC